TCAGTCCAGGGGGCCGTGTCAGTCAGGTCTGCTCTTACCAGGTTCCTGCTCTGCTGCTGTGTGGAGGATTTGAAGGCCACAGTGGGGAACTCATTCCTCAGATACTTGATCCACTTCTCCACTATGTCTTTGGAGACCAGGTCTGAGGAGGGAGGGAGAAGTGGGAAGAGAGGAAGATTGGAGGAGGGGGATGGGAGAAAAAAACAGTTGAGAGTGTAGGAATGCAAGAGACAGATTAAGAAAATAAGGCCCAAATACTCCAAGATGCATGGGAACTCTTTTGTTAAAAGTTTAGTTTATAAATAACTTTATGCACTGGTATAGACGAGTAAAAAAAACACACAGAGGTTATTACAATAATTTTGAATCTACAATAGCTTGTTCCTTTCACCCACCACTCTTTGGGTAAAGTATAAACAGAGAAAACATGGTTACTTCAGTACTCCCCCTCTTTTACTGTCCTTCAGCTTTTATTTTGAACAAGGTGAGTTTACAAAACATAACGGGTCCTCCTTGTCAATGAGCTTCCCAGCAAGGGAATAACGACCCCGGCATACCGATCTTGTTGAGCACCAGGACGATCTTCTTATTCGTCCCACTCTGCACCACCGCCTGCTCCACCTGGGGGCAGCGGCAGCCCAGGGGGTCCCGGGCGTCCAGCACCTCCAGAATGACATCTGCCGCGTCGATCACCTGGGGCAGAACACAGCCTGGGATCACGGGGGGCTGGGTCAGCCTCTGTTCCCCACGCATCACTCGCTGACTGGCAACTACAGTGATGGGCGGGAACACTCAGGCACCCAGCCAATCGTAGCACAGAACTGACACTGCAAAACCTCAACGATAGGCGGAGTCACCCGGCACCCAGCCAATCATAACACAACACAGACTAATCTTTGGTAGCCAATCACTGTACAGGGTACAAGTCAAACAAACACCACACGTCCCACTCCTATGACAAAACTGGCCAGAGCGGCACCTGATACACTTTTATAAAAATACACACCTTTTTAAATTCTCTGTAGTATGCCTTTCTGGAGTTTTCGTTTTCAAAGTTGGCGTGTTTTTCCAAATTCCTGATCTCCGTTTCCTGAGCCAGAAAATAAATATAATGAGAGACACGGGTGGACAGCAGACAGAACAGTAAAATTTGCCAGATGCTTCCATTATGATCATTTAAAGCATTCATTAACAGAAAGAATGAGATGTTGATGGGAGACAGACTAAGGTGCCTAAGCTTATGGACAGAAAGTCAAATAGAATGGGTAAAGACTGATAGAAAAATTGCATTAAGTGCATAACGAGGTAGGAGCACCACTGTTTCAATTCTCCTAGAACAGTCTCTGGGCCAGATGGTCCTCTGTGTCAATTTCACCAAGCCTGTCTCCTTAGACCTGCCCTGGGGTTGGACACAAGATTTCACAGGCTTGAGGTTCTTACAAACATCATAAGAAGCGTCTCACTCTGTGCACACGTGCTTTCAGAACACTAAAGCACATGGAGATTAATAACTGTTCAAAAAACCTCAGAGAGCTGCATCAGTCAATTCTAACCAGAGAAGACCCAGGAGACTGTGACAAGACGCGTCGCCATAATAGGAGAAAGATCCCAGTGTGAAGCCCAACTGCAGCGTCTAGTGGCTACAGAACTCCGACTGGACGGTACCAAGTACCTTGGACTCCTCGGCAGAGCCCCGTTGATGAATATTAATCAGTGTGACGAATTTACCTGCTTCACATCAACTCTATCAAACTTCAGTGCACCCTGCACGAAAAAAAGACTGCCATTTTATAATGCCTTTGTGAATTTGTGGGGAGGCAGAAGGGATAAGGTTCTCCCGATGGATGTCCACACGGATCACAAACACCTGAGCAGGAGATCTGCAGGGACGTGATCGCAGAGACCGTGACCCCAGGAGTGGAGACTCCGGAGGGTCAGCACTGGGGACACAGTCGCCGGCCCCCGGAGAGGAATGAGGAGGGAGCTCCTCTTTCTCGTTAATGATCAGGAAGACGGGTTTTGGTTCAGTGCTGAAACCGCGGGTGAAAACTGCTCTTTAAAAAACAGCCACGCGGAATGCCGAAGCCAGGAGCCTCCCTGCGGAGAAGCCGCGCCCGGAGCCATGTCCCGTTACCTTCTGCTCGAAATCCCTCTGCCGGAGCTGCGCGTCCCTCTGGAAACTGTCCAGGCTGCGGCGCTTCATGAGCTCCCTGTCCCGGGACGCCCTCTGCTTCTCCTGGAGCTCTTCCAGCTGCGGGGGCCAGTCAAGTCAGGACGGAGTTATCCCCCCCTCTCACCATCACACCAGGGGGCGCCAGTCCCTCACGGGGCAGACCAACACAAACACGCACACTCACTCACACCTGGGCCAGTCTCTCCCCAGGAGCCAGTTAACCCACCAGTCTGTCTTGGGACTGTGGGAGGGAACACACGCGCGGATCCAGGGAGGACATGCAAGCTCCACACAGACAGCTGCCCCAGGAATTGAACCCAGGGCCCCCCCCGTGTTGAGAGGCTGCAATGCTAAAGCTGCCCCCCCCGATTAAAACATTTCACATTCAATATGTCATCTGCAAAGCACTCAAGTGGGACATCAGTGGGGAGGGAGGGAGCACTTTTGCAAGGTGCTGCACACGACAGCCTGCGGCTCACAGTAAGATCAGAAACGGACTGCGCCGTGTGGTGCGTGGGGGGAGCTCGATTCCCTCTCTCACCCTCTTCTTCCTCAGCTCCGCCTCCCTCCGAGCATGCTCCTTGACGTGCCGCACGTTGGGCACCCCTGGGTCCTTCCTCCCTCCCTGCGTCTTGGTCTGCTCCCCATCGCCGCCCTGCAGGCCGACAGAACAGCGTCAGAGGAGCGGTGGCCTCCTGTGTCCCTGGACAGGGGTTCCCCCACCCTGGTTCTGGGATGCCTGCTCACCTCTGCTACACAACTGAACCCCGAAATGACCGAATAACAGCACTGATTGGACCTTGCTCGTGGCACGAGAGGGACCCTCCAGGACCCTGATATCAGCACTGATCCCCCACCCCAGCCCCATGTGAACTCTGTCACCTTAAAGGAGTTTTTTCCTGCTCCTCACTAGGCTGAGTCAGTGAACTTTCACATGCACATTAATCTTGATCTTACAGCCTACTCTAACGAGCAGGTTTTTAAAACCCCCACACATCGTCCATCAATACACACGTGATATATACTGTACATGAAGTTGCACTTGCTTATACGCAAGTGAGACAGCAGAAAAGAGAGACTCGATAGCGTTTGCCTGCAGGTGAACAGATGCATGTGTTTGGGAAGAACACGTTCTGGTACAGTGTTAAATGTGCAGTCCTTTGACACTGGGTTGTCTCTTATTACGTCTATCAATCACACAGGATTCTATATTGCGCATCAATATTAATTTAAGGATATGCGTGTACACTCTGGAAACGATCGTCACGAAGATTGCAGTTGCACAAGCGTTGAACTACACGATCGGACTCAAGTGTGAGACGGGTTTCGCCGGACTATTTCGTTTTGTTTTCGTAAAAAGTTCGAACCATGTATCCGGGTCGAATTGGACAGGCTGTGCTTCCACTGCCAGCGGGGAGAAGCAGACAGAAGAACTTTTTGCTGCACTTCGAGAAATACCTCGGCTCCCGAATCCCTAAAATAACCCTCCAGTGTTGTAAACGTCTTGCTAGTTATTACTGCTTTGACAACAATGTATTGATCGGTTATGCCAACAAAAAAAAAGCTGGTTAAATTGTTTACAGTAGTAGCAGAAAATAATGAGACATGAGAAAGAACACACAGACCGGCGAAACGTGGGGCTTCGGGGGGATGTAGTTCGCCGACCTAATTGGCAACATTTAAACCTCCCCCCGAAAAACTACAAGACCCATAATCCCACGCGACTCCTCACGCAGAGACGAGCTACCCATATAGTTTAGAAAATAGTTAACACGCTTACCTTTTTCCGCCCAGTAAAACCGAGTCTCTTCGCTCGTTTCTGTTCTAAAACAACAAAACAAAATATTAATAACTCGTCATTAAAGAAAAAAACAAAACAAATGTAATCACAGCAGTCATTTAGGTTTCTACAACAATCTGCCCGCAAACTCACTCGCTTTCGACATGCTTTCGTCTAGCCTGGCTGGGCAATGGAGCTGCCGTAAAGCCACCGTTTAGCTCGATCTCGCATGGACTGTCGTAAAAACGCTTGGGTGTCGCGTGACAAGCGGACAGGCGCAGAGGAGAGTCGTGCACGATGAGCTGAGCAGCCTGCGAATTGAAGAAGAAAGATGCGAGGAACAGGAGGCTTGCAGCGCTTCATAAACGCAGTGGAATTAAATATACTAGTTTCCTCTTTGACTGTGCAACGAAAAATGTGGTTTGTGAATTACTGCGTATTGATGCGAGTTGAATTGAACTGCCGTGCACTGAGGCGGAGAGGTCGGGGTGGATTTTATATGAACGCTCACAAATTCATCCACCCGTTCAGGGTCACGGGCGAGCCGGAGCCGATACCAGCAAGCAACGGGCGCAAAACAGGGTGCACCCTGGACAGAGTCCATCAAGGACCTAGCAGCGTGTCTTTTGGACTGTGGGTGGAAATTCCTCGCGAACACGGAGAGAACATGCAAACTCCACACAGACAGCACCCCGGGCACTGAGCACAAGGCCCCCCGTACTGCGAGGCAGCAATGCTGCCCCCTGCGCCCACCGTGTCGCTTTAAAACATTGCGACTGAACCCCAAACCCCTCAACTTCAGTTTTCTAAAAGCATGCGTAAATCAAAATATGCTACTAGATCTAGTTGTGTGTGAGCATATGGCACCCATTTCAGTCCATTATCATAGCGGGGACGTTCCTCTACGCAGTACAACACTCCCCTTGTCACACGCAGTGCCGCAACGAGCGTGCAGATTAATGCACCAAAACTTCTGTCTCTGCAGTGTAGCACAGTACCGGAATTCTGGCCTTGTCAAGCGGAAGAGCGCCCTCTGCCGGCCATGTGCCAATGCAAGGTTCACTGGCAGGCGAGTCAGATGATCGCTCCACATGAGAGCACTCGCTCATTGATATCTGTACCGATCTGTCTTTGGGATAAGAGCTCCTTCCTTTAGCTAGTGCTTTTCATCCCCAAAGATCGCAAAGAGCTACACAGATATGAGGAGACCTTCTAAGACCACAACTGAATTGAATCCCTATTTACATAGCGGGTGAATTAATTAAGGGGAAACTTTAGGGAAACCAGATCGTCGAAGCCCAGAATGAAATCTAGCTGGGACACTGGGTGTTGGGTAGCCAGGTGTTGGGTTATGGAGGGTTGAGTATACAGGTGTTGGGTTATAGGGTATGATGGATAGTTAGGAGCTGGCCTGGGGGTTGTTGAGTAGTCAGGTGTTGGGCTGTAGGGTGTTGGGTAGTTAGGTGCTGGGCTGTAGGGTGTTCTGTAGTTAGGTGCTGGGCTGTAGGGTGTTGGGTAGTTAGGTGCTGGACTGTAGGGTGTTGAGTAGTGAGGCGTTGTGCTGTAGGGTGTGCTGTAGTTAGGTGTTGGGCTGTAGGGTGTTGGGTAGTTAGGTGCTGGGCTGTAGGGTGTTCTGTAGTTAGGTGCTGGGCTGTAGGGTGTTGAGTAGTTAGGTGCTGTGTTGTAGGGTGTTCTGTAGTTGGGTGT